GGAGGAGAGAACAACAGAAGGGAAGCAGCGTCATCAAGCGCAATGATTGAGGGGTCGGACGCGCGTAAATGGCGGACGATTCAGGTTTTACGCACGCGTGCTGAAGTTAACGGTGTCGCGTCGCCGACGTGTCGCGTGATGACGGTTAGCGGTGTCGCGTCGCCGACGTGTCGCGTGCTGACGTTAGCGGTGTCACGTGCTGACGTTAACGGTGTCGCGTCGCCGACGTGTCGCGTGATGACGGTTAGCGGTGTCGCGTCGCCGACGTGTCGCGTCACCGACGTGTTGCGTCACCGACGTGTCGCGTGCTGACGTTAGCGGTGTCACGTGCTGACGTTAACGGTGTCGCGTCGCCGACGTGTCGCGTGCTGACGTTAGCGGTGTCACGTCGCCGACGTGTCGCGTGCTGACGGTTAGCGGTGTCGCGTCACCGACGTGTCGCGTGCTGACGTTAGCGGTGTCACGTCGCCGACGTGTCGCGTGCTGTGCTAACGTTAGCGGTGTCGCGTCGCCGACGTGTCGCGTGCTGACGTTAGCGGTGTCGCGTCGCCGACGTGTCGCGTGCTGACGTTAACGGTGTCGCGTCACCGACGTGTCGCGTGCTGACGTTAGCGGTGTCACGTCACAGACGTGTCACGCGAGATCCCAGCGGCGATGTCGTCGTGGGGCCGGCGACGATTACAGACAAACGTACTGAATATGAAAGAGCTGATATCATGCATCATGTGATGCTGACCCAGTTGTGTCAGAAGCAGTGATGCGATTTATGGATATATAGTAGCCTGTATAATTATGACAGTGGTATTTAATTGTACTGGCGGTAGGTTACCGTATGAATATGGATGGATCGGTAAATAGGTGGGTGATGCTTTAGAGGTGGGTTATTTGGGTGGGTGGTTGGGTGGGCTGGCTAGGTTGCCTCAAGCGTGGGTGCATGGGTGGATGTGTGGATGAATAGAATGGAACTGGAAGAGATGTGAATGATTTGGTGAATAGATGGGTTGACGAACGGGATGGTGGGTAGTCGGAATAGAATACACGTGGTGCATGGGTGGATGGATCGATGAAAGCACGAGTTGGTGGACGGAATAGATGCGATGGATGGGTGGATGGATGTGAGCATAAAATGTAATAGATAAACGAAGGATGTAATGTAATGGATGAATACCATGATACAATTTATAGAATACCATGAAACATTTATAGAATACCATGAAGAATACCATGATACATTTATAGAATACCATGATACATTTATAGAATACCATGATACATTTATGGAATACCATTATACATTTATAGATTATTCAGATTATCGCTGCATTACGTTTCCATTGTGTAGTCGTTCGTGACTATCTATTGACAACGTCAGCTATCATAGAACCTTTCCCAGTCTCGCTGAACTGCCTTCGTGGCGTGCCCTCAGCTTCTATAGAGCAGCATGATCTAGCGAACAAAGCGCTGGCACAGAAGCAGTAGAAGCAAAATTATTATCATCACAACCACCACCACAATCATCATCATCATTATCATTATCATTATTATTAGCAACAGATGCAGCAGCAGTAGCAGTAGCAGTAGCAGCAGCAGTAGTAGTAGCAGCATTAGCAGTAGCAGCAGTAGCAGCAGCAGCAGCACTAGCAGCAGTAGCAGCAGCAGCATCAGCAGCAGTAGCAGCAGTAGCAGCAGTAGCAGTAGCAGCAGTAGCAGCATCAGCAGCATCAGCAGTAGCAGCAGCAGCAGCATCGGCAGTAGCAGCAGCAGCATCAGCAGTAGCAGCAGTAGCCGAGCTTCGCTGTATTAGCAGCAGCACAGTTAGAGTAAGAAGCTAGCTAGCGCGGCAACAGAGCTCGGGGCGATCGATTGGCCGTAGTAGTCGTGGCCCTGCAGCTGTGCGCGTGATATAGCCGAGATTTTAGCCGCAATGTGCTGCCGCGCGCCTGAATCAATCTCAACCAAGTTGATAGTGGATAACACAGTGTACATATTATATTTATTTATTTATCAGTGTACATATTATATTTATTTATTTGTGTGTGTGTGTGTGTGTGTGCGTGAGTGTGTGTGTGTGTGCGTGCGTGCGTGCGTGTGTGTGCGTGCGTGTGTGTGCGCGCGTGTGTGTGTGTGGTACTGTCTGTACACTCACTACCATGCTGGTGGATTATGCCGTTCAATATTACTAGATTGTTCGCCGATGACACCGTCCATATATTACGATAGGAGTGTTTAATACCGTCTATATGTTTGTATAGTACTGTAGCTGCAATTAACTTAATGACTCTCGGGTCTCGCAGAACACACGGGAACTGTTGCAATAATATTATTTCAAAATGCACTTGCAATAAAATATGCAGTATGTAGAGTAAAACAGCGGGAAAGTCGCGAATTTTAGAATTTCATACCCATTTTTCAAACGTCTTAAAATTTCTGCTAATCGTACACGCAAAAATTCTAGGTATAGAAGGTAGTCTAACAGAACGTATACGAGAGCCTAGAATAGTACGTAGGTTTTATCCTGGAGTAATAAGCTGACGAGTAACGAAGGCCTAAATTTCAATATTTCAAGCGATGAAAATGTCGACTGCGTTTTAATTAACCCACTGCTCGTGCGTTGACTACAGAGCGTGCAATTCGCACACTAAGCGCTCGACTACTGCGGAAAGCCGGATGCGGAATTCGACTTCACCGCGTACATTGCTCGCTGACTGATGATGCCACTGTCGACCGTAACAATTACGTCACGCGGCGATGACAATTAGGCGACAGCCAGCGACATCTGGCGTTGACGGCCCGTCCGCACGCATCATGTCACGGCAGCCATGTCTCGCGTCTATACTATGCAAGCGATGGAAAGAGGAAGTCCATCAAAGGCGAAATTTAAAATACTCGCGACTGTATCTGACCGACAAATGACCGTGCTGCGTGTTTTCCATTTTTGATAAAAATTAATGATTCGCGAGAGTTTGTGTTGAGGTAGGATGACGCGACTAAATCCGGCCATTATAAATAGTAATTGAAATTTCTCTGGATAGCATCGGTAAGTTAATATTTGCGCGCGTGTACAAGTCGCTGGTTCGACACATCAATCTGCTGTTGTATATTATTAGTAGAATGCTGAACGCTATTACAGTATAAGGCATAAAAAGAAATACATGTGTCTTTGTCGAAGAGAGGGAGGTGGTTAAAAAGAGATTGACGCAGAAAGAGAGCCTGGGATGGAGGAAGCGTGCGAGAGAGATAGAGAGCGCGCACAGGAAAACAGTTGGGGCAGCGAGAGTAGTATAGAAATGAGAATGAAATAATTAGGTGGAGTGCGGTTGAGAACGGGATACACACATACACATAATGCTATATGGTGGAAGAAGGAGAATAAAAACCTGTAAACTCGGTGAAAAGACGTTGACGTGAAAAAAGGGTACCGTGCGATGGAGTCCCCGCAGATACACGTGCACCTACGTACATGCACACACACGCGCACGCACACAACAAGCACACACACGCGCACTCACACAACAAGCACTCACACGCGGGCACGTACCCAACAAGCACTCACACACGTGTACGCACACGCGCACGCACACGCGCGCACGCACACAATCACTCACACGCGCGCAGGCACACATCAAGCACTCGCACGCACACGCGCAGCACGCACGCACGCACACGCACGCACACACGCGCGCAGCACGCACGCACGCGCATGCAGTAATGCAGTAACAGGAGTAAGTGGAGGACCTTCATTCACCCTGCTAGCTCGTGATCGATAGCGAGCACTACGCCGCGTCAGCTCCCTCCCCTTGGGCATGAAATTCAGTTCCGCGCGATGGCCGCGAGGCGCAAAACCGCAACGAAATTACCGAGAACGCTGCGTGAAATGAGAGCATTAGTGCGATCAGAAGGGAGACGGCATATTGTTCACGGGGGAAAAAATCGAAATCGGAATCCGATTAATATAATCTACTGTCGTCCAACTATCCATCAATTACCTGTTCATTACCAGAGCAAAATACCGCAATAAACATGTGTATTTCTCACCGATCTCTCGCAGGCTATGCCCTTCCTCTTTCCGTATAATAAACACGAGGAGGCACCATTCAGTAGAACGCAATGGCGGCGGCCAGTGCGTAGGAGGCACAAGTGCCGGTGTGAGGCGGCAGGGGCTCTTGACTGCATATAGATATAATAGTCTAATTACACTAGCAATTGTAGACGCGGTCGAGGACCCCTGTTGCTTCTATATCCTCCTGTAACGGCTAATAGAGACGCTACGGTTGTGCATGCAATCTTCTGCGTGCAATCTCGTGTTGTGTTTGTACACGGTATTCCCGGCCGTTTCATAATGCATGAAGCCGAGAGTATCTTATGCGCTGTCCCTGAACACCGAGAGAGAGAGAGAGAGAGAGAGAGAGAGAGAGAGAGAGAGAGAGAGAGAGAGAGAGTAAGGGAAAGAGAGAGGAGGCGAAAGAGAGAAAAAGAAGAGGCAAAGAAAAAAAGGCTAGAGAAAGAGAGCGATCGAGTAAGGTGGATAACGGTAGTAAAAAAAACAGGGAGAGAGATAGAAAAAAGGGAAAAAGAAAGAGAAAAGATAGACAGCGGGAGAAAGATGGTGAACGAAAAAGCGAGATAGTACGCGCGCGTTAGGAAGGGAGAGAGACATAGAGCGAAAGCTAGTGAGAGAGAGAGCGAGAGAGAGAGAGAGAACGAGAGAGAGAGAAAAAGAGAGAGACAGAAAAAGAAGAGAGAGAGAGAGAAAGCGCGCGCGCGAGAGAGAGAGCGCGCGAGACAGAGAGAGAGCGAGAGAGAGAGAGAGAGAGAGAAAGAGAGAGAGAGAGAGAGAGAGAGAGAGAGAGAGAGGAGCAGGGGCGGGAGAGCCGGTACTTCAATTCCGTGTACCGCTGCTACCGCGTCATGAAATCGCGAATCGAATAACCGCACCTCTAATTATCTATTATTATTATTATTATTTGTTATATTTTTTATTATTATTAAATTCCACAGATCGTCCCTGGCATCATTCCCCAGCCATGGAGAGGTCCGACACGACAGAGACGCAGGTCGACGGAAGCGAACAGGAGCCGACGGGAGCGTCGGAGACGGGAGAGGACGCCGACAAGGAAGAGAATGACGCCGTAGAGGACGGCGGACGCAGGAAGCGACGCAAGATCCGCAAGATCCCGTGCCTCGCCGGAAAGCCGTCGCTGGAGAGCGTCACCGAGGCGGAGGCCGACAAAGAGGCCGCCGACAAGCAGTCGCCGACAACGTGCGTTGATTTCGGAGTGCGCTCCTACCTGCACCACTTCTACGAGTCGATGGCTGTGCGAAATCCGCATCTCTACGAGGAGCTGTCCCGCGACGAGGATTTCCAGTACCTGATCAAGCCGCGTCGCCGCCGCTGCGGCTCCATCTGGTGGAAGATCGGCCTCTGGTCGGGCGTCAACCTTGTCGTCTTCGGCCTCGTCGCGATTCTCGTCGGCTACCTTGTGCCGCAGCGTCCCGAGGTCGTCGACCATCAAGGTTACTACGACGCGATCAGCAAGAACGCACTGCGCTACAACACGAACCTCGATATTTTCAAGCTCGTCGGTCTCATCGTGTTCTGCATCGGAGGATGCCTGCTCGCCGTCTCGCTCCTCTTCCCTAGCTTCCTCTACCAGTGGTGCGAGGACGACCTGCTCGCGTCGGAGCCTTTCGGCATATCGACGAAAGATACGGAGAAGGAGCCACTGAGTCCGACAGAGAAGAGAGTGCCGGGGATACCTGTCGTGAAGGGGGTGCAACCGCAGCGTGATAGCAACGAGGCCGTGCTGGCGACCAAGGCAGGCATGTACACGGTGCCCTGATAATATCTAGGAAACCAACGCATTCCTACAACAGTATTTTTCTGAATGTTATGAATATATGGATGTATAGGCTAGCATATAATACACTGTTACGAGATGGACAATGTGCTTCTATACATGATACATATACATATATATATATATATGTATGATTGTATTTTGTGGATGTAATTAATGTTATATAGATGTCGTCATGTTTTCCCTTATCGGGTGGCACAAAAAGTCTAACGTAGCAACATTAGAATAATGGCCGCACACGCACACGCGCGCATAGTGTAGCTCTCAGCACACGACATGGAATGGAGTCTAATTCAATCTTTTACTGTACTGTAAAACATTTTTGCCCGAACTTTATTTTGTTTGTTCTTATCGGGCGGTGACTTTTAACGAAACAGTTTTAAGGCGCACTACATGTTTACGATGATTGTTTTATTGCAGTAAAGAGACCGCCATGTTTTGTGTAATTGTGTTCCGGCACCTTGCTGTTTATTGACCTTGGTCGATAACATTGTAGTCACACTATTTCGCAGACGCGACAAATTATGAGACAAACGGTACCGCATATTTACGTATTGCATTCGTTTCCCACCGATGATCGAAAAAATATATACGCAGCTGCCATGTTTTGCTCAATAACCGATGTTTGCGAATGTGGTATGCGATTGTTTGTGTTAGCGTGGCAATGGGTCGTCATCACCACCGGCGGTTATGACCGAGACGATGAGATGATGTGTGCAAATAAGCATCCAGTTTACGACTAGCGTTACACCGATTTATATTAATAGCGCGAAACATGATTCAGAATTTTCGCAGAGTGTCACGAAATATACACGAAACATTTACGGGAAACATATACGTGCGAACAATAAGGAACGAGACATATATATTCGTATATCCGGAAACATAAAACCCATTGTGTGGTTTTGCGTGATCATGCGGGGGTTAATAACCGTTGTCCAGCCATCAGAGCACACGTGCATTGTGCGCAAGTACAAAAGCTTAGTGATAAGTGCATCAGACGCTATTACACACACACACACACACACACACACACACACACACACACACACACACACACACACAACACACACACACACACACACACACACATACGCACACACATACGCACGCTACACCTATCAACTTTAAATGAAGCTTTCACTTCTTCTCAGCATTTCATCTTACAACCCAACAGCGACTGGCCGGACAGCAAATTACCGCCGCCAGGGTGCGCCACCAAGCACCCCGACTACGCCAAGCGATAGCGATGGTGACGTAGAACAACAGACGTGACGTCACAGCGCATCTTCCGCCGAGGCCGCGGAAACAGTGTGATGCCTGCATCATGGGTTCGCCATCTTGGTATTCATGGATGAGGGAACGTGGCGTGGATGCTTGCGTACAGACAGACACGCGAGCATAAACATACAAGTATCTTGAGAGTAGCACAGAGTGAGGGTAACAGTGCAGGCATAATACTAATGTAGTTAAATGTGCCATATAAACATAAATTAATATATTACTGCCTTTGCAAGTTACATGTATGTCCGGACCGAGTGTGCATTTCTGTTCTATTAGAATTACAAATCCAGCGGTAAGCAAAAGAACATCCAAAAAATAAATGACATCCACAATGAATATCATAACCTACATGTACGTTAAAAACATCAAAACAAAAGCACAGGCCCAGATGTCGGATCGCGTCAGTACAGAAAACAAACGCAAGGTTGAACGTCATCCATTACAAGTACACACCTCATCCCACAAAATATCAAAGGTGTAGTGATCGGCGTATGCGGAGGATTCGCACTCCCCTTAGCTGCCTTCTTTTTCTACGTTCGGTTTGCGTCACGAACGAGCGTGACGTCGACAAAGTTACTGCTGTGTTACGTCACCGAGCAATGCTTATAAAGTCCGTTAAATGTTAGCCAAATGCTTTAGCGCTGATATAAACACGTCTTCAATGACTAATGACTCACCCATGCATAGCGGCAAGCTTCGCGTAAAAATGTAAGCCAGATTCGTAACATTTATAGCCATTTATGGGCATATAATTATAGCCATTCATAATATAATAGCTTTTCTGGCGAAAATGCATTCGATATTTTGAGATAAGTTAAAGCATTTGGTTGAGTTTTTTGTATGATTTATATGATGCACGTATGTACGTGTGTTATCCCTGGAACCGCTGTAGATGTGTAGTTTTGCTATGATTTTTTGATGCTCACAACTCCATAACCGGGACACGCGTAGATTGTAGTTTGTGTATGATTTTATGAACGCGCCACAGTATCTTGCATTCTGTAACACGAGTTAGATTGTAAGTTGTTGTCATGATTTTATGAAGCGCCCACATATCTTGCATTCTTAAACACGAGGTACGATTGTAGTTTTTGTATGAATTTTATGAAACGCCCACATATCTTGCATTCTGTAACACGCGTAGATTGTAGTTTTTGTATGCATTTATGATGGCCTCACATATCTTTGCATTCTGTAAACACGCGTAGAGTTGCTAGTTTTTGTATGATTTATTACTTGAAGCGCACATATTCTTGCATTATATAACACGAGTAGATTTGTAGTTTTTATGATTTTTATGCAAGCGCACATGATCTTGGCATTCTGCTAACACGCGTTAGATTGTTAGTTTTGTATGATTTTATGAAAGCCGCAGCAATATCTTGGCATTATATAAGCACGAGATAGATTGTGAGGTTTTGTATGATTTTTTGATGTGCATATATCTTTGCATTCTGTACACGAGTAAGCTTGTAATTTTGCATGATTTTTTGATGCAGGTAAAGATGCTACACGGGCGTTGGTTTGTATACATTCGCTATAGGCAGCTGCGTACGTAAAACTCTATACCAGATTGTACTATACAATTTTAAGCCTAACTTCTCTCTGTTGTATGGAAGGCGGAATTTGTGTTATTCAACGTAGTAGGATATTAACGCAGAAATGTCCTAGGTCGCCTAATAAAATATCAAATAATAAATCAACTTTATAATAAATATTTTCTCTCAGTGCAAGTGACTTAACGAAAAGATGGAGCGAGATAGAGAGAGAGAGAGAGAGAGAGAGAGAGAGAGAGAGAGAGAGAGAGAGACGAGAGGAGGCGAACGAGAGCAGCAGCGATGGAGAGAGGAGAGAGGGAGAGAAGGAGGGAAAGAGAGAGAGAGAGGGGCGACAGAAAGAGAGGCAGAGAGCCGATAGAGATGAAGAGAGAGGATGGGAGAGAGAGAGCAGAGAGAGAGCGGGAGGAAGAGAGAAAGCGATAGGAGGAGGGAGGAAGGAGAGAGAGGGGGAGAGAGAGGGGGAGGAGAGAGAAGGGAGAGGAGACAGAAAGAGAGAGGGAGAGAGGAGGGGGAGAAAACAGAGAGCGAGATATTAACAATCAAATGAACAGATCAACTACTAGATTTCAACAATACAAAATGTTTTCTATCATGTTAATAAGAGAGAGAGAGAGCTCCAGTATGAAATAAAAGAAAAAACGTAGAAAATGCTTTAAAGTGAGACACTAGATAAACAGATTTCAAATTAAATATACATTTTATTGCCGAAGCAATTTCGATAGGTAACTGCTTGTGCGTTTTAAATAGAACAAAATTAGACCTCACATTTCTCTTATAGCACATTCTGCACTGTTACGTGCACCTGTTATTAGCCATATATTTCCTAAAGCGATAACTCACATTACATCAGGGGACATACATGGGGATTTGTAGTCGAATAATTTCACCGCTATAATAAACTCGGGTGCATTGACCTGATTACATGTATATGTGTATCACTTCTGTGACTCTCGGGCAAGTATTACAGTTAGACGCAACGGTTCGTGTTACCACTGTATTGCCATGTTATTCTACTCCTCTACTCGACGAACAGATCTGGTAGTCATAGAATATAGAATAACATATTCTACTATGCTATTCTATACTATTATTCTCATATGCTATGATGCAGCGTGCAACGCCACGAAACACGCACGCGTAACAGGAGGGCGAGGCTGCGATCTGCTGAACTATATAACAAAGTATGTGGCAGCACAAGCCAAATGATGGCTAAGCACCTCCATTACGGCAGCGTTTCCCAACTTTAATCATTATGGGCGTGAACCTATTTTAGTTGTGCGTGACCTAATTAATGTCGTTATATGTAGTTATACGTAATCGTAGACCTAACCCTAACCCTAACCATAACCTATAACCTAACCGCTAACCCAACCCTAATCATTTAATGAACATTAAAGTTGGAACACTCCTAATGGAGTATCACGCCACAATGATGGAGTCACGTGCCTGCTATATTGCTACAGTATGTATTAGCATAGATTATGCATATGAACATATGTTATATTAACATATGTTAATATGATATCTATTATGTATTGTAATGGCAGGCGGCAACCCTCCCCACAATTCTAACATCTGCAGCGATCAGCTCATCCGCATATTGTGTTCGAAGCTGCGATCGCGGTTACTCATCGCGTTAACATTAAAAACATTGAGCCTTTAAGACGCGAATTTTTCTGCACTGCAACTTTTTCCGCAGCGTCTATGACGACAATTCGAAGCCGGAGCGGCCAGTACTCCGCGATGCTCTCTACTTTCTGGCTAGTCAAATACGGAGTGGGGTCGGAGGGATATGCATCCATCGGCGAATTTATTTATTACAATATTAATAGATGCAGTTGAATTAGCCACAGCTGTGAATGTCTATCATAAATAAGTTGGACGACATAAATATATGCATGAGCTCAGCTCGTATTACTGGGGCTACGCGGTGTTGCACATAGCGGTCATTGTAGTAATATGTTAAGATGGTTTAAAGAAAACTAAGACGTTTAGATGCTGAGAAAATTAATATTATTATAATTATTATATAAGAATAATTAATATTTACGATTAATTATTCTATTTCGAGTCTCACTCTATAACCGGAGAACAATAATAGTCCAGTTATCAATATTCCCCTTGCATGGAACGTAACTTGCACGCAAGGAAAATATATATACGTATATTTATTTACACGGTAACAAGAATAAATATTTAACTTATGCGTATTATAAGTATGACTATATATTAAAATTTACTGATAGATACGAAGGGGCTAAATACTTGTCAACGTGACGTCATAGGAAATATAACGTCTTACGTCACACGATGCTGTGAATAAATTATAGAGTAAAGCAAATAAATACTAGTACCAACATCATATATCTCGTCTGCTGGCGCCATCTAACGGACCATAATAATGGTTACAATTGTCACATCTTCAGGCTGTTGACTCGGTGTTTGATTGCGAGAGAGGCACGCGGTAACCGGTGAAAGTTCTCTCTCTCTCTCTCTCTCTCTCTCTCTCTCTCTCTCTCTTCTCTTTCTTTATTTCTCTTTCTTCATCTCTTTCTCTCTATCTATCTATCTATCTATCTATCTATCTATCTATCGATATTTAATATATATATTATATATATATATTATATATAGTAGATATATAATAGATATTAATATATAATATGCATATATGTATCTGTCCTCTCTCTCTCTCTCTCTCTCTCTCTCTCTCTCTCTCTCTCTCTCTCTCTCTCTCTCTCTCTCTCTCTCTCTGTCTCTGTCTCTCTCTCTCTC